GCCTGGGCGGGCGGAAGAAGGGCGCAGAGTGGTGGGCAGGGCGCTGAGTTGGGAGTGATGCCCTGTTGAGGAGGATTGGAGGAGCCGCCAGGTGCAGGGGGTGGAGGTATGAGGAGGGGGGCTCTTTGTTGGGTTTGAGGGTGGTAGTTATGTTTTTAGGGATTGGGTTGAGAGAGGCTGCAATCATATAAAAGGCGGGCGGGCGTGGAGGCGGCATACCTACCTGGTGATGTTTCTCTGGGAAGGCACTTGCATACATGCCTAGACGAATAGCTCTTTTCCGTGAGATGGGAAGAGCGGGTAATGGGCGTCGTGGTGGATGGGGCGGTCCTAGAAAGGACTTGGTAATGCATATTTATGACTAATGATAGGCAGCAATAATGATACAGTTACGGGAATTTGGTGGTTGTGCGGCGTGAGGGTGTTATGAAAGGCCCAGTTTAGTGACGTCTCGAGGCGATGCAGGGATTGAATTGGTGTTGTTTTTTTTTTTTTTTGGGTTTTTTTTTTTTGGCCCCAATCCGGAGGACTATCAGGAGCGGGCTTTTTTGAATCGGTATCTTGAATCAGCAACGGTGTCGGTGGCTTACTTACACGGTATCATGCCTTCCATTTTAGGAAATATGACTGATGCCTAAACGGTCCCGCCCTCGGTCCCAAAGCCAAACCCAGACCGGAACTGTGGCTAGAATAATCATCAATAACGAAAAGATTGTAGAAATACATGCAGACCTTGGCCTTCGAATAGGGCGTCTCCTTTTAATGACAAATGCAGAGTCGATAGATGGGTCATCATGTAGGTAAATCGATTCGAGCGCTATCTATGCTAACACTGTGTTCAAGGCATCATTCAGCTTCCGAAATGCGCCCACCATTCACGCTTCAGATCCAATAGGCCACCGCTCGGATTTGGTAATTCAGTTGTTGTTGAGCTCCTTATGAAGCGCTTGGAATCCTTGGAGCAGATCATCTCTCAGATCTTCCCAACTCTCGACGCCAATACTGACACGCACCAGTCTCCTGTCCACCGTCGTGTCACTCATGGCCCGCCACTCAACCAAGCTCTCAATCCCGCCGAGGCTGGTCGCGTGGTGGAACAAGAAGAGCTTGCTCGGCAGCCGCTTAGCGAGTTCTTCCGACTGCAGCCACAGCGAGAAGACGGGCCCATGGCCGTTGGGCATCTGTTTGCTCAGCCAAGAATCCGGGTCCGAGGCCTCGGGCTGCTGAGACGAATGCTGCAACTTGTACACAAGATCTGCCACCACGTTCCCGCCGGCCTTCTTTTGCGACGCCAGCCAGTCGACCAGATTCCGCGTCGTCTCGCTCTGCCTCTTCACCCGCAACTCCAGCGTCCGCAGGCTCCGCGTACCCAGCCAGCCCTCAAAGCTGCCCATGACGCCGCCGAGGTGGAGCCGCTCCTCTCGGATCTCCGTCAACCAGCCCGGCTTCCCGTCTTTGCTGCCCGCCCGGTCGGGGTGGATGGCCAGCACCCCGCTCAGCATGTCGCTGTGGCCGCCAAAGTACTTGGTTCCGCTGTGCATGATTATGTCGACTCCGTACTTGAACGGGTCCTGCAGTGGCGGCGGCGCAAAGGTTGCGTCGACGGTCAGGTAGCAGCCCAGCTCGTCCGCCTTCTTGCGGTAGTAGGCCAGGTCCCGCGCCTCGCCTGTCGGGTTCAGGGGCGTCTCGACGTGGATGATGTCCCCCTTTTGCAGCTTGGCCAAGTCGTCTTCATTCTCGAGTTCGAGCTGCTCGAGACCGTTGAGCTTGTTCATGAGCTTCAAGATGCCGTGGCAGCCGTGATAGCCCCCGCCGATGGCAACGCGCTTCGGGTTGAGGAAGACGACCATGGCGTGGAAGGCGGCTAGCCCGGAAGCATACGACACGGCCGGTCCTCCCAAAATCGAGCTGAGGATCGCCTCATACCGAGTGGTGTTGGGCGACTTCTCTCGTGAGTAGATGTAAAAGTCGTCCCATTTCTCAGGCTATGCGCTGTTAGTCCCATGTCGTGAAGTGGGTGGGTTCAAGACTCACTCACCTCGACGTCCGACCAAGCCACTAACTCGTCGGGGTTTCTCGGATACCGGAAAGTTGTCGACACGTGCATCGGCGGCGCCACTGCCGTGTGAGTGTTGGTGTAGTCATCAGCATGAACTGAGCGGGAGGCCAGCGACAACTGCCTGCCGAAAGCCGCAGCGAGCTGGTCCGGGCCAGCGCCCGCCGCCTTCTTCTCGGTATTCCCGTTGGAGACCATGATTTCTGCGACTATGTTCACCAAGACCAGGAAGTATATTTCTCAACGCAGGAGGATGCCGATAGTTTTCTCTAATCTAACACAATAACAAGAAACAAGAAGGGGACCAGCTACCATCAAACGTCTCATTTAGTTTATGTAACCCGGGTCGACATCGGCGCGGGGCGGCTCCATCGCATGTTCAATTCGTCATTCACAGGGCGTCCCCACTACTGCGGCCTCAAGATGGGAGGGAAGAGGGGAATGGCGTGCGCTCTCGGCCTTCCTCGGCTTCTTTGTTGCAGGTTCTCCTTGTCTCCATCGGGCCCATCCCAAGCCATCTGAACTAGGCTGCCATGTTATGCAAGGGGCAAGCCGAACCTGCAACGCGCTCTGTACGACTGAGTCGAAAGAATGGAAGTTGTCTCTGCCTGGTGTGTGGCTTGCCACGAGGGAAACTGTCGATCCCCATGTTTTACAATCCGTGTCGCCCGATTTGGCCCAGCTGCGTTTGTGAGTGGTCCATCCTGGCTTCAGGGGTTGTCTGTCGCAGGAGAGCAAACGGCTTCGGGTTAAGAATAACTCGGGCTTCCCGGCACCAAGCCAAGTTAAGCTTTATACAATGATTCCCGCCATTCAGTTGTCGAATTCGTGACGCATGAGGAAGGTCAATTGAGGTGGGCGGCTTTGAGGATGGTTTCATGACATGGGGGCCAAAGGCATCAACCAAACTCTCCTTTATAGACCAGACTCCTTGATTGCCGCACCTGCATGGGCTTGATATTTACGGACGTTTTATTTTCTGAACGAAGCCGTCTTCCTTGCATCAGATCAGCGGGAAGGCTGGGGCGAGAACACGTGGGAGATGCAGCCCGAGTCGGAAACGCCTCGCCCAACAAACACACCCACGATGCAAGCCCGAAACCGACGGGACCGATATAATGTGGTCCTCCGTCAGCCGCAACCTACGACTTGAAGTTTTCGCCTCAGACAACCCTGCTGGCTCAGCTAGAATGCACCATCTGTCTCAATTCCAATGTGCCGAGTCAAGGTCAAGGAGGGGAGAGTCCAGAAGCCGAGTCTTGTCCCCGCGGCGGCACCGCCCCGGCGGCGCGGCAGGCCGGCCATTGACTGGACCCGGTCCCGCAAGCGGCGCCTACTTAGACTGTACCTCTGCACCCCCGAAGCGGAGCTGTCCCTGAAGAAGATACTCGGGCTCCTGTCGGAGGGCCCGTTCCAGCCCAAGTAAGACATCACGGGCCCCCTTCACAGCCAGGCCTTTGAGCCCTCGAGTGCCATCACCATACTAACCCCCCTCCACAGACCGCGCCACACCCAATGCCTCCTCAACGACATGCTCTCCAAATCCTACCGCCAAAAGCGACCCAAAAACAGAACCACCATGAGCGAGCGCCTCGCCTTCCTCCGGTCTGCACGCTGCGGCCAACTCCAAACCGACCTGCCGCCACACGCCGACACCGCCAAGGAGTGCGCCATTCTCTTACAAGCCCGCCCCGGCAGCGGGCGCTTGACCGACGTCGACGCCAACGCTGATGTCGCACGGGCGAGGACCACCAGCGGCGAGCCGGACGAGCCGGACGACTCGCCCTGCTCGCCGTTCGATCGGCGGCCACCGGGTGCGATCCGCCGGTCGTCGCCGGATGCCGGGAAGCCGCCGCCGCCACCGCCACCGCGTAGTTCGCTGGAAAGCGGAGTAAAGGGTGTCTCGCCGGCGATGTTCCGGAATCCGTGGTCAACCAGCTGTGAGGACGGTCAGGGTCAAGGCCACGGCCGCTGCGAGAGGGTTGAGTTCCTCCGGGAGCGGTGCCCGAGCCGGTCGTCGTCATTCCTGGCGGACGTGGTGAGCTTGCTGGGGGGGTTGTCGATCCGGTCGAGCTTGTCGCGGTCGTCGAGCGGGTCGTCGCGGGGGAGTGCGCGGTCGGGTTCGGTGTCGGAGAGGGTGGGAGAGGAGGTGCCGGCGCTGGGTTTGGGGATGATGCAGGGGGGCTGGGAGGACCGGCCTTCATCGGTGGTGTCGACCGCGGAGAGTCTGGCGTGGTCGGGGGATGTGACCGTGGCCGTGGCGGCTGGGTTGGATGAAGTGGCGTTCTCGCCCTGTGCGTGGCCAAGCCAGCCGAGTAACCACCCATACAACCTGGCCAGCAGCCCCCATACATTGGAAAACCAAGAGCTGGTCAGGTTCTGCTGCGGCAGGACATCCTGGTGCATCCACCAGCGCATCAACGCCGTGCTGATGCACGGCAGCCCCGCCGAGACATTCGCCTGCACCGCGACCGAGGTAAACAGCCGCGACGGGCTCGGCAACACCGCACTCCACGTCGCAGCACGATGGGGGGCTCCCGGACCGGTCCTCTCCCGCATCCTGACGCTAGCATCCCACCCCGCCACGACCAACCACCGCGGCGAGACCTTCCTGCACGTCCTCGACCCCACCGCCCTCACCCCCCTCGAACTCACCCACCTCACCAAACGCCTCACCCGCCGCGGCGGGTTCGACTTCACGCAGCTCGACGAAGCGGGGCAGAGCTTCGCGAGCCGGCTGCTGTCGCGGTCGTCCTTCTCGCTCGACGCCCTCGAGGCCGTCTTCGGCGATCTCCCGGAGCCGGCCCGGCTGGCGCTCCTCTTCCGCGCCGCCGGGGGGCCGCCCCACCAGCAGCAGCTCCTCAACGCCGTCCGCGCGCGCCTCGCGGCCGATCCGGCGCAGACGGCAGAGTTGGTGGAGGAATATTGTGCTTATTTTGTGGCGCGCTATGGCACGCCGGCGGGCTCGTTTAGCGCGGGCTTCGCGCCGCCGCCGTGAGTTTTTTTTTTTTTCTTCTTTTTTCCCTGGCCATCCTATTATGCGCTGTTCCTGGTTTTTGTGGCTCGGAAAAGTTGACGTTGAAAAGCCCGGTTTTGTAAGACCTTGAGAGGGAGTTGGTGGGTGTTGAGAAGGGCGTAAACGACTGGTAGGGCGGGTGGGTTGAGTGATTGGCTGTTAAATGAAGAGTCGATATACTAAATGAGGAATGGAGATAGACGGTGGTGAGCTGTGCGAGTATAAAGGGGGTAGCGGTATGGTAAAGAGATAATGCGTAATGATGGATAAAAAGGCACGGGGGCCACTTTCTTTGTATTAGACGGGTTTCTCGATAGAGGCAGAAGTTCCAGCATACGGGCAACTATGCTATGTCTGTTTTGTTTCGCTAGTCGCTGTTCCTGTATCGGACTTGGCGGCACCCGGTTGCCGTTTGCCCGCGATGACTGCCTTACCGTCCTCATGACTGATCCATCCACGGGTCCTCTCTCTCGCGTGCCAACCGCGGCGGGCTCAGCATGGCGCTTCCCGTGAGCGAGATGTTATTGAGCCCCTTGGCCCAGTACCGGAGGCTTTGGTGAACGTTTCCTTCTTTACCTCTTAGGGTTGACCTGCGCCATTGCTCAGTCGCGTTCGGCCTGCCTCAGGTGTTGTATCAAGCGGGAGGGACAGATACGGCGTGTCGCTGAACCGTCGTTCGGAGATCCCCAGCCTCCATGTCGTAATAATAAATCCTTTCCTCGACCCCATCCACTTCACCCCGTAACCTCCTTCAACAACTCGGTCAGCGTCACAGCCTGAAACCCACGCCTCTTCATCTCCGGCAGCACCGTCCTCAGCATCGGCTCCGTCCACGACCTCCTATCGTGGCATATAATAATCCCCCCCGGGTGCAACATGCTCAACACATGCCTAGCATTCACCCCCGCCCACCCAATCTGCGCATCATGCGGATAAATACTCCCCAACACCACCCGATACCCCAACCTCCTCGCCACCCCCCTAATCCGCTCACTAAAAAACCCCGACCCGGGCCTATAATACCTACCCCTCCCCACCGGCGGCGGCGCCCGCCCCTCGGCCACGTACGCGTCCTCAATCATCGCCTGCACCCTCCCAAGCTGGTCCTCCAACTCCGCCGTCCCCAGCCGCGCGGCGGGCTCGTCGCGCATGCCATGGTTGGCGAGCTCGTGGCCGGCGCGGAGGATCTCCCTGAGAATTGGCTCGCGGCCGGCGACCTGCGAGCCGATGACGAAGAAGGTGGCGCGGGCGTCGGCGGCGGCCAGCGCGGCCAGGATGTCGCGCGTGTGGTCGGAGGGGGCGTCGTCGATGGTTAGGGCGACTAGAGGTTTGGTGGGCGGGAGCCAGAGGCGGAAGAGTACGTCGGTCCAGCGGTGGGAGAGGTGCCGGATTAGGAGGGAGGGGGGTTTGTAGATGATGTAGAGGGGGAGGATGAGGACGAGGAGGAGGAGGAGGGGGAGGAGGACGGTGGTGGCCATGCGGCGGCGGCGGAGGCGGCGGCGGGTGGGGAGGCGGAGGCAGAGGCGGAGGGAGGGGAACATTAGGTGGTGGTGGTTGTGGCGGTGGGTGAGGATGGCATTGACGGCATCTGTTTATTCGTGTTCGGGGGGTTGAATTGGAGGTGTCAAGGATGAAAGGAACATGTTCCCATCTCGTCGTGGTTGGGGAGCGGGAAATGAGAAGGTCCGATAAGATAACGGACGACCGCCCCTGTTGATGGGCCAGCGCTGTGCATGATCAGTGCTGTGGCGCCTCCTGGGCCGTGTGGGGCGCGACTTGCACGGGCTCAAACCGGTCCGGACGTCAACAACATTCATCCCGTCCCATCATCCATGCCATCACAGGCTTAGCCATATTCTGAGTTGATCTAGATACCGGTTGGTTCGAACTTAGTCTATAGGAGCTGTAAAATCTTTCACGACAACCCATTTATCTGTACATAAGCTTTTGAGACATTGTAATGCTACTACCACGAACACAAGGCTTCGAGAAAACATACGAATACATAGCGACTGCTCAATTTCAAACGAGCTTAAGGTATCCAAAAGCCAACACCCAACGCCAGCAAAATGTCAAACCAATCCACCGCCTTAACCAGCGCAATGCAAAACTTCAAAGTGCCCCCGCCGTCTCATCCCATTCACATAAAATCCTCGAGGTCATCCTTCTCCAGGGTGCCAACAAACGCGTGCCTCAAAAAGTGCAACCACGTCTTGTTCTGTCTCTTCTTCTTCCCCTTCTTTCCCTTCTCTTTCTTGCCCTTCCCTTTCTTTTTTTTCTTCTCCGCCCCCGCCTCCCCATCATAATCATCATCATCGTCATCATCATCATCATCACAAACCTCCTCACCCTCCTCACCACTCGCAGGATCGGCATCGGCATCGGCAGCATCACCACCAGCAACCAGCCCCTTCCCCCCCGCCGGCCCGCCCATCCTCACCGCCAACCCCACCATACTATTCACAGTAAGATCCCCCAGTCGATAAATAGCGTCCTCAAAGGTCGAATACTCCACCTCAAACGCAAACTCCCTCGGCGGCGTAGGCCGCGGCACCACCACGGGTTTCTTGCCGCCGTGCTTGCCCTTGCGCCAGCGTAGCAGCCAGCCGTCCCACTCCAACAGGTCCAGGTCCAGATTCCTCCAGCTCCACCAGCTGCTGCTGCTCCTCCCGTCTCCGTTGTTGTCGGGGGTGTGGGTGGCGGCGGTCAGATTGAGGTTGTTGATGTGCGTGAGGTTGGCGAAGTACTGCGTGTACCCCGTCAGGGTGAGGGGCTGGACTGAGTAGGCTGGCCCTGGCGGGGCGGATTTGGAGGGGGGGAGGGGGATGTGCAGGTTGGGGTCTTTGTCTTTGGGGGGGGACTTTTTGGGTTTGCCGTGTTTCTTCTTTTTGCCTTTCTTGTGTTTCTTTCTGGTGGTGGCGACGGTGGGGTCGTCGGTCTCGAGGTCGGAATCGGGGTCGAAGTCAGGGTTGGAGTCGGTGGGGAGTTGGCGGAGTTCGATGTGTTTTTGGCTTGTGCTGCCGGTACCTTGGCTCCCCCCTTGGGCTGCGTCTCTCCAGAGAGGCGTGGCTTCGAGGCCGGTGATGTTGTATTCGAATACACGCAGAGTGGGAAAGTAAGTCGGCACGACGCTGGGGCTGACCAGAGACAGGTGGTAGCGCTCGCCCCAGGGGTCCTTACGGTCCTTGCCCTTCTTGCGTTTGCCCTCCTTGTTGACCTCCTTGCCGGATGCGGGGGGGTCGAGCTTAGCCCAGTCAGAGCGCAACTCCATCAGGTAGTCCGACGCAGACTGTGCCGTCAGCTCATCGTCCATCGCCTCGCGGGTCCCAAACTCAGACGACCCGTCCAGCGCAGCGATGTTGATCTCATTCTTGTCGTGTATCAGGAAATGGTCGATGTTCATGTGCCCGTACAACCCGACCAGCACCACGTCCCGGAATTGGTGCATCCAGAGCGAGTATTTTTGCCAGCACGTCTCGTCCCACAGCATCTTGCTGTCCGTTCTGGCCGGCGGAACGTGCCCCATCAGGATAGCCTTCATGCCGCGGTCTCGCATGAACTGCAGCTGCACCCTGAGCCATTCCATCTGCTTGTACCCCGGTTCCGAGGGGCTCGCGCAGCCGTCGACGCCGGCATTGCGGTCGAAAAGGTAGAGAGTATTCAGACTAAATACGGCCAGTTTGTTTGGGATCACCTCGACATTGAACCACCCTCCGAATTCAAAGCTATGACGTTGCTCCTCGGGGATGAAATGGCGCCAGATTTGCAAGTAGTGCTGGAACCACTTGTTGGGCCCCGGGAGGAGGATATTGTGCGGCAGGATGTCGTTGTTCCCAAAGTTCGGCACAACCGGGATGGTCATGCCCTTGTCGCTCTTGTCGGCAAGCATGTCGACGAATTTGTCGGCGATCCACCTGTTGGTGCCGAGGACCTGGTCGGCATTGCGGGGCAGGTTCTCGTCGCGATCATGGCGCGCGCTGTCGCCGGTCCAGACGATAAAGTCGATATTATCTTTGAGATTCGCGTCGATCCAGTCAAAGGTCGCGTTCACGAGGGAGAAGGGGCTGTCGCAGTCGGATGTTTCGGCGCCGTAGGGACCTGCAGGGCCTCTGCCCCTGTGGCACCCGTCATCTTCATCGGTGGACGAGTGTACTTTGTAGTACTCATCCGGATGGATGTCTATCACGGGGGATCGTCAGTGTCCTGATTCCCAATGTATCGCCAAGTTCCCGACAGTTCAGGTGATGAGGGGTACTCACCCGTGATATGCAGGAACCTGCCGTGTAGCTTTCGCGGGGCAGAGCGCGCTGGAAGAGTTTGGTCCGCCACAGGCCCCGACGGGCCGGCTATGACGCCATGGCACAGTAGTACCACAGCCAAAACGCGTCCAAGAGGCATCACGCAGCTGCCAGACGGGAGAGAAATTGCAAAAATAAGAAGGAAAATCGATGTCGTTTCGCGCTAATCGCGCCTTTACATGGTCATTATAGAGTAAAAAAACAGCGGGTGAGAAACTGGGCACGGGTTTGGCGTCCTACTGTGTTGCAAGTCGGTTGAGGCGGAAAGTTTTATTCGTCAAGGTTCCAGAATTGGGCTGTGGCCAAGGTCGGACCAAGGAGGATGACGGCGTACCCGCAAGTCTAGGGCCAAGCAGAGGAGTCACTGGGAGTCCACCGAGTCGAGTCGGGCGTCTTGGGGTGTCGATCACAGCGATGTCGTCGTGGATGCGATGACAGGAGATCTGAAAGGGAGAACAAGCAAAGGGGCGTTCCTTCCAAACGCCCACAGGCAACTATTCCCATCTTGTATATATGCGCATGCGGACAGAACAATGAGAACCTTGCTGCCCCCCCGCGGGGGTTATGACTTGACGGCCACACGACTGCGATTTCCCGACACCGAATCGCTTTGCTGATCACCCACCCGCATTTGTGTTCCATCTTCGCTCCTAACTGCGCGCCTCGCTGCGAGGCTGAAAACAGCCAAGGAACCAATATCCTTCGAGCATCATTCCCACGTGTTGGCCACCGCGCAGCCCTCAGGGTGCTTCGGCGGCCATGGCTGAGACATGTGGGCAGCCCTTTGGGTGGGAGCTGACATGACCAAACTGGTCATCTGCCTGTCTGTGTCGATTTTTGTGCGGCAACTCTATCTCGTCGCGGGGTTGGTCAAATGCGACGGGGAAGGCAACCAGTCGTGTGGCCGTACTTGATGATCGCTCATTGCAGGAGTCAGAGAAGGGATCACCTCGGTGGGTCTTGGTTCGGGCTTCAGGGTCTTCAGGGTCGTCGGCCTCGGACGAAATTCGTGTCAGTCTCCAAACTTGTTTGACCGCGGGTGAGGAGGCCTCGGGGTTGGCAAGCTGGTTATGAGAAAGACCATTTTGTGAGTTTGTGGTGACCCACTGGCGCTGATCCCCAGATGCGACTCCGATCCTCTGCCACCCCACCAATATCCAACAAATGCCGAACTCCCAGGACACATCACGACTCAATCTTCGACTATATTGACGGGAAGATACTGTTCGGAAACCAAAAGCCTCTGTGGTTACTCTATCTATTACATCTCACCAGATTCTTTCCTCTTGACTTTCTTTGCTCGGTTTTCTTCACATCTTTCTCTTTCTTTTTTTTTTTTTTTTGGCTTCCATCAACCTAGGTAGTTTGGCTTTACTTTGGCCCGCGGTTCCCTGTCTGCCGCCAGTCGCAACACACGGTGTGTATTTGCATCATCCAGACAGTTACCGCACTGTGTGTCTGGACCCCTAAACTCGGAAATTTTCGAGAGCTGCAACAATTTTTCTTTTTCTCCGCATTCGAAAAAACATCATTCGCAACCAGCGCCGCGTCTAAGGACTTCTTCTCCCCGTGTCCCGTGATTGCTCATAGCTAGTTGCTAGATTATCTAGCCGTACGTTTGAGGGAATTCCGAGCGCCTTGCTGTGACGCTTTCCTATGGTTTAAATCGGCTACATTTCCGCGCCCGTCGCCGGGTTGTGCCATGTCGGGTTGCAAACCCCTCGGGAAACCCTTTTAGGGATGCCCAACCCAAACCCGATGCAGATCATCCTGCAGCACAACTCCCTTGATTCATGTCGGAGCAGGACCTCTGCGACTGCTGTAACTGCTTCGCCGACTTACGCGTTGTGATCAGGGCATTGTGTCGTGTGCCCGACGCCCCAAAGCAGGAAACAGCCGATGCGATATCCTGGAATAGTATAGCTGCTTGATGTGCAACCCAGATCAGGGCGGATCTGATCTCGGCGCACCGGGTTCCTCGTCCAGTCATCTCATCAGCCGAGGAGCACCGGTATGACGTAGAGTCGGTCTCATCCGGTATATGTAGGTATCGCTAGTCGTGTCTCAGTTGGGCCCCGCTTCCCTTGCTTCACAGGATCAGAATCACACCTTGGAATAGCATGCAGGTGACGCCTGTTCCTCCCTGGATTAAGAGAGACATGACTTGCCGATGTATGATCGTGCTTGGATTTGGGTCAAGTCATGGGCTTCAACGCTTGACTCGTCACAAAATCATGCAGCACGCAGTCGCACATTATGCAACACCTAGTCACACAGCTTGCTCTGAGCAAGGTGTGGAAATCCGTCGAAACCCGGCTTCAGCCGCTCTTTTGAAGACGGGCTAGTGATGTATTTCATGATATTCGAGACGGCTTATTTGTAGATCCAAAATAGTTGGCAAATGATGTCTAATTGTCCACTCGTCAAACATCAAGTGGCCGGCGAGGCACCCGTTCCTCAAATTTAGGACGGAGCTTAGTTGTTCTATCGGAGGAAGTGTTGATATACTACTAGAACCGGTACAGACGCAACAACCGTACAGACCAACGTTTTTGACTAACAAGGGTCGACCTCGGTCCTGTCATTGGGGCCTAGAACCGCCCGGGGGTTCACTGCTTACACGTTACTAGTAGACACAGCACCGGAAAGGGAATGGTGATAACTAGAGGCGCTACGTCTATATTTTTGATTGAGATTGTATATATGAAGCAAGTACTGAACCCAACCTCAATCTAGCCCACCACAAACTCCTCGTGCATACACCCAAACATCCCTTCATCAACCATCCCTCCATCAACCATTCGCCATTAGCCATCCCTCCCCCACTCACCCCCTCATCCGTCGACCACCGTCTACACGCCGACCCCTTCCGACCCAGCACCGAATCCGTCACCGGCACGGACATCGGCAAACACAGCAAGGACGGTGTGCTGCTTGATCGGCGACGGACGGCAGCGGCGGCTGCTGCTAGGCCTAGGTGCTGGTGCTGGTGCTGGTGCTGGTGCTGGTGCTGGTAAAGGTGGGTGTTGTTGTTGTTGCTGTTGCTGTTGCTGTTGCTGTTGCTGTTGCTGAAGGGGGAGGGGGAGGTGCGCCAGGGGAAGATGGTCGCGGCTGGGGGTGAGGCTGTTGCGGATGAGATTGGGGCGGGGTTGGGGTTGGTTGGTTTTGTGGATGCGGGTGTGGTGGATAGGGAGATGGAGGAGGATGGGGTGGGGGTTTGGATTCGGTTGTTGGAGGTGGGTTTGGGGGTGGGGATGGGGATCGGTTTGGTTTGCGTTGCCGGCGCGGTTGTCGAGGGGTTGTGTGTCCCTGACATGAGGGGCAGGGTTGGTTTGGCGGTCGTTTTGTTAAGAACTGGTTGCTGGGAGGATGTTAGGGATTGGGTATCCTGCGTTGTTGCGTTGAGTAGGTTGTGGAAGGAGAAGGGGGGTGTTCAATAACATAAATAAAGAAAAATAGAATAAATATCAAGCGTAGCTGAACAGAGACGGTAACGGTATGGGAATGGTAAAACCGGAAGAAACTCGTTTAGAGAAAAAGAACGAGTCTGAGTATAGACATACCTAGTCTGCTGGCCTGGCGGCGACGAGCCATAAACACAATAGCTGCGCAAACAAGGAGGGCGGTTACGCCCAGCGCCAGCAAGTTGGTTTGAACGAGGTAAGGAGCAGAAAAAGGCATGATTGCGGTATTCGTTGAACTGAGTTATTCTACACACCAAGCTATGGCCGCCTTCATGGAAACTAGGCGAACCAACTTGTCTTATATCCTTCTCCGTCCCTCCAAATGTTCATCCAAAGTGTAAAAGGTCACTAAGGGGAGCTCGGAGGTTCCGTAGCCTAAAAACCGGGGGGGTTCCAAATAGTTTGGGCTCGGAATGCCAGGCCTTTTCCCCGGGACCACTTGGCACGGACGCCTTCACCATCATCAGCGCGCCACACCCTCGAAATGATAATGGCTCTGTTGATGGAGGAGGGTGGTGGAAGCCACACGAGATCTGGGCCTTGCTAGATCCTACAATATGAGAAAGTCAAATACTAAGTCTCAGCCGCAAGGCCTCTGAGTTCACTAACGAGGGGCTCGGCCACCACGAGTTTCGACGAAGAGAGCAAGGCGAACCGGCTGAATAAAGCTGAGGAGCAGGGCGAACTGATCTAAACCCAAAGTGGACGGGCTGTGCGGACGCCTTGCACCGTCAGTCGAGGACGCGTGGGACACCAGAGCGGCCAGGCCATTGGTGTGTCTTGCAACCCATGAGGGATGGCTGGGACGACCAGGGTCCCTCTCTCCTACAGCTGGCCAACCACTGAAAATCAAGACGCCGAGAGCCTGCTGATAACGACCGGGCTGTCTGGCCGTGAAGGAGGGTGGTCGCTCGCTCTAATTCGACGACAGATCGTTTGTCCAGAGGGGCCGTGCGTGGTTTCTTGTGTGAGGTGTGATTCTGTGAGAGCGCCTTCCCAAGTCGGAGCATCGGAGCACATCGGCGCCCTCACTGCCGTTTGTTCGGTGCAACCGAAGGGAGCTCACTCAAGACCATGGATTTCGCCTTGACTCGCCAGTTCTCACTCGCCAGCCGCTGGTTTGGGAGACGGGGCCATGAGTTACACTAGCTGCAAGCTTCCCGTCACATTAATTGCCCAGTCCGACAATCCCGGCAACGGTCGGAGGAGGGGTAGCTTGCTCTGTGAGGCACCGTCTTGCCTCTGGAATCATCAAGCTGCCGTCGCCGCCGTTGTCGTTGTTTATTGAGCTTGAAAAGCTCATGGGTGAGTTCTGTACTTGTATGTAGACGACCCAGTTCCTTTTGGCCCAAGCATGAGAGACCAGCGCCCACTGTGCACCTTAGTTACTCACTGTGGAGTTACTTCGTACTTCGCCGAGCATCGTGGGCATGGCCCATGTGGGCCGATGTTGAAGCATGCAATCTTTCACCCTGCGAACGGCTGTGGTGGACATCTCTGGGCCGATGTGGAAGCTGTGTTACATGTGTACGTACTCGCGCACTCGACGCGCGGGCCACTCCGAGCTGCAAGAGCTGCAAACGCCAGGCTGATGGGGCGGGGGACCAAGAAGCCCCCCCAATGATGTTTCCCGCCCGATGTCACGCCGTTGAAAATGCGTGGAGAAGGGCAACCAGGGCCCGAAACCGAGGAACGATGCGATGAGCCAGGAGGCCAGGTCGTTGCGAAAGCGGGCCCGAGTCTCGGCTTGGACCAAGAAAGCCGAAAACTCTGGTGGTTAGGGATCATCTTTCTATGGCGACGAAGTACTTGCAATAGCGGAAAGAAATTTCGCTCGTCGAAGCGGAATACTGTCCCTTCATCTCGTCAGTCAGTCCCCGCAGTAATATGCTCGCGACGACGAATCAGCTTGAGGGGCTGGTCGGAACATCAATGGGACAGACGATGCGTCAGGGTGGGATCGCCTGTCGGTAGAGAGAGCGCCTGGTTCTCTGGTTTGGGACTGCAGACTGCATCCCAGCCCGCAGTTCATCGAGCACAGCTGGCTTGCATTCTCCCGGCGTGATGACGGCAGCTTCTGCTTCGGCTGGTCCGAGCTGCTTTATCCATCCGACTCGCGTGCTGCTGCGTAGTTATTTGGTAGTTAGGCAATGTGCGTGTTTGCGACACTAACTCCGCGGCGAAAACTGTAACGCCGGGCGCCGGGTTCCATAAAAAAAAAGAAAGGAAAAAAAAGAGAACTGAACGGCAGGTTCGCAAGCTGGATCAACCTCAACCTCAACGGCTGGCGATGTGAGGAATCAACCTGGAAGCAAGTGGGGGGCCGCCCTGTTTGCAGCTGACTGACCAGTCGCGCCCTTGGCTCTCCATCAGTCACAGAGCCAGGCCGGCTCACGTTGCACCTTCCAACGGTCTTCTCGACCCTGGCTGATTTGCACCAGGAGGCTAAGCCTTTCCGGGTAAAGCGCCATGTTCTGCCTCACTCAAACTGTGGGGCTGATGGAGCGTCCAGTCAATTGCCCGGCCGCCCGAAGAAGGGTCCCCTCGGTCCGTCCCCATGCGGAGTGTGCGGGTCGATTCGCGCGGTTTTTTACAGGTGCGATGGTGCAGTGGGAGCCCGAGGGCGACAGAACACAAACCTGGAAGGGGCTTTGAGGTAATGCGAGGAAGCGGGGTCGCAACTGCCAGGCGGAGGGAAGGGACACCTCAGCAGTCTCAGACAGTGCTCAGCTGGGGGAGAAAAGAGGGAAAGAATGGAGAGAGGCAAGAGAGTGAAGTGCATGATGTGGAACAGGCGGTGGCCGAATGGAGCTTGAAGGCTTGGCTTTCTGGTCCCCGGCTTGAGCCCGGCTGGGGCTGGACGCCGCAGATGGGAAGAGGGAGGGTCTCGCTTTGGTAATCTGCCGCCGCCTCGCCCTCTCTCCAGGTCCAAGTTCGCAGCTGTCCAGGTCTTTTCGGCCTGCCGCGGCCCACTCTTCCCCAATTGACCCTCTGATGGTCGAAATAATTCCCCAAAAAGTGAGGAGCTCAGTTCACGCCCGGTCCCAAAAAATCGACGCAAGACTCTCGTCGTTGCCCGCTCACACTCCCGTCGCATTTCACGGGTTCATGCCCACCTGCACCGGACAGCTCCAACGCCAGCTCCAGATCCCCGGGTCGTCTGAGCTAGCTCCCTCAGCACGCACGCCCCAATTCGCCCCGCGCAGCCGCGCACTATGGGATTGTGATGCATTTCGGCGCTGTTGGACCCCCACCACTGCTATCTGTACTGAGTTCCCGACTACCATGTTGTGCCTGCTGGCTCGAGGACCTCCTTGTTGTTGATGCGCGAAGAACAAACCCTTCGAAGCCTGGTTGGTGGGCGAATAAGCCGCCACGTCCACGTCCACCTCGAGTTACCCAAAGCTAGCACAGCCAGCTTACCCGGCACTGGCGTTCGGAGCTCGCTTTTCTAGGTCTAGATCGAGGTTGAGGTCGAGACCGACGCCGCCGATCTGCTGCTGCTGCTGCTTCTGCTGCTGCTTCTGGTGCTGTCGCCGTGCCCGTGCCGTGCCACGCCGTCCCCTGCCCGCCCGTGGACACCCGCGTCCGTCCGCAGTTGCGCCTGCACCGTACGTGCGCCAACACCCTTGATATCCCCATCGCTCCGCCTTCCCGACAGCGCGGACGACATCCGCCATGGCCACCGAAAACCTTGCGCCGCCGGCCTTGTCGCTACCTCCCATATCAGCCCCTTCTGTTCGACCGGACCGCGATTCATTAACAGCGCCGTCTCCGGCCGTGACTACACCTCTCGGCCCCGGTGCCCCGCCGGCCGCGCCCATTCCTCCGCACCAACAGTACGATCCGGCGCTAGATCCCGCCATCAAGCAATTGCTAGACCAGCAGGCCGAGATCCAGGCAAGGCTGGCTGCCCTGCTCCCTCAGAAGTATGGCCCCAACGTCAAGCTCGAGCTCGAGATGCTACACCACAAGCTTCGTGTGCTGCGCGCATACGCCGAGGACAACCGTGAGTCGATCATTACCTTCCTGGCCCTATGGTTTTCTCCCAATCCTATCTTTTACTTTCACCAACCCCCTTCCACCTGATCTAACTTCTTTGTCTGCAGAATTATCCGGCAACATCACTCCCCTGTCCGAGATAGAGGAGGCAAGGGCACTGCAGTACCAGTGCGAGTGTATCGAGATGGCTTGTCTTGACCAAGGTAAGCCCCAATATCCATCGCCCATTATTGCTGCTTCGCCCCGTCTCATGCTCTGGCTTATTAGGGATCGACCTCCAGGACCCTCGGTTCCTCGATGCACTGAAGTATCATTATCACCGAGACCAAGCCCCAGAGGGATATGCTGCCTGGCTGGACCGGAATTTCGCTCAGTACGACCCCGTCGCCCGGGCGTTGCGGTTGAAGGACAGCATGCCCCTAGGCTTCCGCAATAGCCACTCGTTCAAGTGCTGGGACGACCGATGTATGCACTACATCTACGGTTACCCCCATCGGGACGACCGGGACCAACATTCCAAGGAACATGTCGTTCCCCGAAAAAGAGATTCAGGTCTCTCGGTCGGAGGTACGCCGCCCTTGTCGTTCACCGAGCATCCGGGCCGAAACTACGGAGCCGACTACAGTAAACAAACGAGCTCGCCGCTGTATCTCCCCCGCCCAAGCGCAAACTTCCAGCTCGCCCCTTTGGCAACGGGTAGTCAAGGCAGGGATCACCGGGAATCGCTAAGGAGCTACTCCTTTGTCCCTGAGTATCCAGCCGGCCCTCGTGGCTCTGTTGACTCCGAGGTCGACCCGCTGTTACCGCCCTTGAAGCGCAGCCGCATGGGGCAGGCTCGGTTGGAGTCCATTGAGGAACTTCGCCTCCTTCGCGACAACGGACCATGTTTGCGCTGTAGGGTCCTCCAAAAACCAGTGAGTGGGGATTCTAGATTTGCCCAGTGTTTTCCGGCTAACTCCTCCAAGTGCGATTCCAATGATCCCTGTAGATTCTGCCCTGACCCAACGACTTCCCCGGGCAACGACTTCTGGAAATCTCTTGACTGCCTCCGAGGGCCGCTCACCGCTTTTGCCGATATCATGTTGCCAGCTTCGATGGGCCCCAGACACGCCCAGACCCCCATGACTTCCCCCCTGGCTATTCGCCGCAACATGAACGAATTCTTGGATAGGGCCTTTGTCGTACCGCCGGAGATTGCAAGAATGGTCAAAACCCATCTGGATTTCGACGACGGGTTTTGGTGGACCGAGGACCTTGCCCACCTACCGCCCTCTAATCCGACCCGAGCTGCCTTTCATAAGGATCCTATCGAGAGACCGCCACCGATCCTCAACGTGCTTGCAGCCAGTTGGAATATGAACCAGACCATGTATAGCTTCTGGCAGCTCCTGAAAGTAACAGGCGTGCTATCCGAGACCCGAGACGCCGAACTCGCCAAGTACCCGGTATTGTACCGCGCCAAACTGCTTCTCCGCGAAACGCTCTTTTACGACCTCCAGCAACCTGATCCAGTCATCCATGCCGAACCCAACAGCTCAGCTTCCCATGTCGTATTCGACGACGCCGATTCATATGGGCGCTTCTATGTGCTCTACAACTGCATGGTCCAGTTTTTGCAATCCCTCGACAGCCAGATGGCCCAGCCTAACCCACACGACCCGAAACACTGGCTGGCTAGCTTTATCGCTCTTTGCATCTTCAGCCTAGTGAAAACTATCCTCGTCGATAGAGCCGCCCACTTCCGTTTTAACCCGCCTTCTATGCATGCCGTCTACAAGGCGCTCGTCAGCGCCTTCGCCTGGTCCACGCCGATGTTTCTGGATGGGCAGGATTTGGAGATGGGGCACGGTGATCGCGAGTTGCTCCTTTCGGTTGGCGTGTTCTTGGGGAGGAACGCTTGGGCTGAGCGCGGCATCCCCTCATCGAAGGATTTCCTCATGTTCCTTGGGAGCGGGGAAATCGAGGGCGCCTACTATAACGGATTTATTAAGCAGCGGTCGCCAGCGAGACAGGGATCTATTGTTCTCCCACCGATCACCAAACCGAGCGAGGAGCCCATCAGGAAACCCCTCCCTGACATGCGCCCACTTATCACTAGCTGGGCCCCTGCCGTCCATGGTCAGCTAGACAGAGAGGTATACGTTTTCAAAGGAGAACCAGACCGCATGCTCGCTTCGCCGCAAACAATGGATCCGGGAAGGCGGCACACCGTCTCTGAGAGCCCGACCTTCATGAGGCAGCCCGGCGGTGTGCTAACATCACCAGTGGCCACGCCGAGAATGCGAGCTTCTTACCAACGACCGCCACTGAGGAGAGTTTATTGCACAAAGTGCAACGAGTACCCAGAGGGGTTTCGCGGCGAGCACGAGCTGAGGAGGCACAACGATGCGAAGCACGCCGCCCTGGTAAAGAGGTGGGTGTGCACACAGCCGCCGGATCCCCCAGGGTCGCCTCACCCCTTGATACCACTGGCAAAATGCAAAGCCTGTGTCACCCAGAAACGATATGGTGCCTATTACAATGCCGCCGCACACCTCAGGCGTGCCCACTTCAACCCCAACCGCGGCGGCAAGGCGAGTGGTGACTGGCCGCCCATGTCGATCCTAAAGGACTGGATGCGTGAGGTGCGGCAGTCGATCGACGTGCAAGATCAAGACGATGGGTCCAGCGGGGACGACGAAGCACAGGATTACAAAACCGTCCACGACTTCATCTCCCCGCCGCACCGGCGCTCCCCCGTCCTGGAAGCTCCGCGTCTTGCACCAGCGCCACCGGTACCTCAGCAGGCACATGGCCCGCCACTATTAGCACCTTCTCTCGACCGTCTCAACCCGGTTGGTCCCCCACCCATCATCATCCAGAGCGCGCAGAGTGCATTCTTGGCACCCACGCCAACGCTGAAGAGCGACGATCCGCCGCATACATCGAGCTCCTCCTCGTCGTCCATCCGCAGCCGCTGCCCGCATCCCGAGTGCGGTCGCGTCTTCAAAGACCTCGCGGCCCACATGCTGACGCACATGGAAGAGCGGCCGGAGAAATGCCCTATCGAGACTTGCGAGTACCACATTAAGGGATTTGCACGCAAATACGACAAGAATCGGCATGCACTGACACACTACAAGGGCACGATGGTGTGTCCGTTCTGCCCGGGGGCCGGAACTGCATATGAAAAAGCGTTTAACCGCGCAGACGTGTTCAAGCGGCACTTGACGGCGGTGCATAATGTCGAGCAGACGCCACCCAACAGCAGAAAGATGATTCTGCCCGCAGGCCCTGGACGAGTCGGAGGGGTCGGCGCCAAGTGCAACATCTGCCAAAGTCAATTCGGGACCGCCCAGGAGTTCTACGAGCATCTCGATGATTGCGTGCTGAATGTTATCGTTCCGTCGACGCCCAGGACGGCCGGCAGCGGGGGTGGCAGTGCCATCACAAGAAAGGATTCCGCGACGAGGACTCCAACGACGGCGAGCACTGAAAAAGGCAAAGAACTCGACATGGATATAGAACCACCGCGTTCCCGAGAGCCCACACACCCGCGGGCCGACCATGGGGACACCAGCATGGAACATGCCAATGCTATTAACCGCGCGACCAGCGGTGACGAGCACCGTATACGCAATAGGGCATCTTTTGTGGGGGATAAAGACCCCATGCAAGTCGACCAAGATCAGCAACAACCAATGGAGCAGCGATTCGAACCGCAGCCCCCATCCCAAACCCCGTCCCAAACCCCGCCTTTCTCTTTTCCCCAACCGCAAGCAGAACGAACACATAGCGAACGTGCCTCCGAACCCGAGCCGAAAAGCGAAATTCAGGTCGCAATCCCAGCTACCGCCCCTCCCGGCCATGACGAGGAAGCGATGGAGGTCGAGCGATCCAGTAGCGCCGGCGCCAGCACAAGCCAGTCACAGCAATCGGACCAGCCGCCCCCAAGCCATGGAGCGATCGAAGCGAAACACCAGATGCTGCGCCCGGAGGTGACCCTCGGGTCGCCGGCGCCGGACGCTATGGATACGGATTCGCAGTGACGCGATCTGGCCGGCGGAAGTCGCATCCCTGGCCAGTCGGGTTGATTTTGATTCTCTTTATTTTCTTTCGTGGATTGTACATATTCTTTTTACCTTACGTTCGTTCAGCACGCGCGTACATAGCATGCGCGCGCGTGCTGCCTTGTTTTTATTTAGTCTAACTTTGCTCACTTTTTTTTTCTTACACTTTTTTTTTTTTTTTTTTTTTCTTTTTTTCGCGAGAACACTATCCTAGTTGCTGGGCTTCATAGTACGGTCTGGTATGGGCAGGGAATGCATATCGCGGCGCTAGCACACTTGATGTGTGTGGCTGATGCGAGGAAAGCAAGCAAGCGACATGAAGAGCAAGCGTCTGTCTGGTTCGGAACCTTGGGAGGGCGGGCTTCTGAGCGTCTACTTTTTGGAGCGAACGAGCGAGAAAGAAGCGAATGAATGTTCACCTAGACTGATTTGACGGATTCACTTGTATTGCGCAATCACTTGCGCTTAGCGGGAGGAAAGAGGTAGACTACGAAGTACTACCTGGGTAGGGTATGGGACAATCGTTGCACAGGGGGGACAAGAGAAGGGGAGATTGGAAAGAATTGAAAGTTGACAAGACCATGTTGATGTGCCCATATCACACGTGAACTTACAATCATAATACGCATCGCGTCTCAGGAGAAAAAAAGATTTGGACATCACCAACATCACACTTGTAGGTAGGAATTTCCCAGAGAAGCAAGATAGATAAGTTGGTAGGTAGTGGGTATCAGCCTGTATTGCCTCCAGGTATCCAGATGGCCATGCCATCACAACGATTTATGTGGCAGCTACATATACACTTCACAACAAACAAAAGAAAAAACACCAGTCCGAAAGGGTTGTTACTCCGCGACCGAAGAAGAGAAAAAAGAAGTCAACCGGCCGACACCCCCTTTTATGCCCGCCCATGTACAAAACACATCACCACACCCACGCCCGCACCCACGTCCGCCAGCTAGCCCATCAAAGACTCGGTATCCAAAAAGATACGAATCGACCCGCTGCGATCCAACCCCTCTGCATCCGCTATTAGCGGCAAGGCCGGCACGTCCGGCACAACAGCAGGGGCAGGCGCAACAACCGACCTCGGCTTGCGGGCGTAGCCGCGCAGGGTACGGAAGCAGGAGCCGATCTGGCGACCCTCCTCGACGACGGCGTGAACGTCAGTGATCATCTTGCCGGCCTCGTGCATGGCCCTGCCCGGGGTGACGGTGTCGGCGAGGCGTAGCTCGCCCGCGGCCTTCTCCGTCTCGGCCCGCAGCAGCCACCGCTCCCAGCTCCAGCCGGCGGCCACGCCCGTGATGGCCGCGGTGTTCTCGGCCGAGCCCGTCACCATGGCCTCGAGCTGGTGCACGCGCACCGACGCACCCGAGGTCGAGTCGCGTGTGGAGGTGGTGGTGGCGGCGGCGACGGGGCGCGGGGGCCGCTTGGGCCCGACGGGAAGACACACCCAGGCGCGGCGGACTTCGTCGAAGCCCGCGTTGGCGAGGCGGCCGAGGAAGGAGCGCGTGGGGTTGGGGTCGTAGCCTAGCGTCTGGAGGGCGAAGCTGAACTCGACGGCCTTTGCGTTGCCGAGCGGCCCCGCGTTGACGATGTCGGCGTCGAGGAGGCCGAACTCGATGTAGCCGCCGGGTTTGAGCACGCGCATGCACTCTCGTAGGCAGGCATCCCACTCGTCGGCGCCATTCTCGCCCGAGATCTTGAGGACGGCGTGCAGTTCCCGTGCCGAGATGAGGTCGAACCGGTCGTCGTCGAAGGGGAGCTTGGAGAGAGTGGTCACGGCGACTTGGCGATGGTTGGGTGGGCCGCGGATGTTGCTGTTGCTCAGCTGGCGGATGGACTTGGTGGTGACCGTGTAGATCTTGGTGTTGGGGTACTGCAGCGCGGCATGCCACGCCCAGTCACAGGCACCCTGTCCGCCGAGGTCGAGGATGCGAGCGCGGTCGCGGCTGAGACCATCAGGGGTAACGGCCATGTAGCTTTGACGGGCGAGGCGCTTGCCCACGGGGGCGGAGATGAGGCGGCCGCCATTGAGCAGTTTGGTGGCAGCGACCTGCCAAGTGGCGAGGTGCATCTGTGAGAGGGCCTCGCTTTCCTTGTCGGCGCGGAGCTTCTCCGGGTCGTCGTGGACGACATCGTCACCACGGACGACGTTGGTGCTCATGCGCTTCTTGGCCGACTGGGGGACCACCGAGAGCTGGAACTTCCCGAGGAGCTGGTTGCGGTGGGCATCCCTGAGACAGACGCGCTGGGCTTGGAGGGCCTCGAAGCGCGGTTGGCGATGGATGAATACATCTGAGGCACAGGCTCTCACAGTGTAGTCGGTGAAGGCGCGGTAATAGGAGGACTCCTGGCGCACGAGCTTCGAGGGCAGGTTGCAAGGGATGTCCTGTTTGACGACAACCTCTGAGAAACGGACGGCTTTCTTCTTGGGTTCAGCCTGTTCGATCTCGGGGGAGGCGACCACAGATGGCACTTCGAGCTTATCTTCCGGCTCGGATTCATGTTCAGAGTCCTCGGAAGCTTCGTTTTCCTCGGAGAAGCCTGCTACACCTTGGAGATAGGATCGCTGCGCAGCCAACCACATTTGAGTGCGATTGATGTGTGAGATGGCGTTCTCCTCCTGCTTCGTGATGTACTCGGTGTCATACTCGGCAATGATTTCGTTCACATCGACCGGGGACAAGGGCTCCTCGACTGCCGTCTCGGAGGCCGGGGCTTCAGGCTGCTTCGGAGTGAGCGGGACTCGACGGGCAGTGATGGGCACCGGAGTTTCCTCCACCCGGATGGCGGTTGGGAGGTCTCCGGTGTACTCGTTTGCGGGAAACTCGATGACACGCTCGACAATAGTGGACGGTAGATCGTCGAGGTGAAGGGGACGTGGTGGCGGCGGCGGGACCTTATCCGCAGTTCGGCCCCAGGGAATCTTGTAAAAGTTCTCAGCGGTTGTCGAAGTAGGCGGGTTGGCTTCCTCCGGTTGGCTGTTGTTCCACGTGCGACGGCTGGCAGAGGAAAGGTCTGAGAAAAACCCGCCAGGTGACGGGATATCAAGCCTTGTCAGGTCGGCTAATGAGTGTCGGTGGGACGGGGCCCGAGTTACACCAGCACCGGTGACGAGCCGGGGAAGTCGCCGGCGGGACTCAGTCATTTCCTGCGGTACCTCGATAACTTGGGTCGGCTCGTCCTCATACTCGGAGTCGCTGCCGGAGAGGGCCTGGAGAGTCTCGAGAGCGCCTGGCTGGAGACGGACTCCTGACCACTCTTCGTCCTCGTTATCCCGGGCTCCAATTAGCGGGGTCGGAGGGGCGGACATCTGGGCCATCTCCTCCGAGCCAATGCTCCCGTCGAGAGAGGGGGGTGCTGAGACACGCGGGATGTCTTGTGACTGCCGCAGTTCCATAAAGGTCTTGAGAGCAGGCGACATGACCACTGTGGATGGCGGGGTTGGCGGAATTGGTGACATCAGCTTCTTAGCTGCTGTGGCGGTCGCTTCTTCAGGAATCACCAAGGGGGCCAACGACCTCCGCCTCTCCATCGAGGCCCGGGATGTCCTCCTGAGGCTCCGGGAGCTTCGCTGACGGCCAATACCGCTTGCTTGGAGACGTTGCTTTCGTGTGATTTCGTCGTCGGAAACATCGTAAAGGTCGTCAAACTCGGTTACGTCGGTCATTATGCTGTCTCGGTTATTGGGGTTGTTCCACTGAAGGGACGGGTTTGAAGAAGAAGCCTGCGAGCTGGCGTCGTCGTTGTCGAGCTCGGGCTCGGGCTCGGCGTCGCTCGACGCGCAGGACGAGCTTGTGGTGAAGACCGGGGCGGCGAGAAAGTGCTGTCCTCTCGGGGTGGGAAAGTGGTCGCTCATAGGTGAAAGCCACTGCTCAATCTTGTCGATGGACCGCCTGTTTCTCCTCCGCTCGATGAACGAGTCTCTTGTCTGTTCGGGCTCCTCCATTATAGGATTAAGTGCCCGAGCCGGCCTCCTCCGACCCAGCGGGGAGGGCGGCCGGAACGTGGTTCTCGGTAGCAATACTTGGTCGGACATGATTGTTTATTGTCGGAAAGGATCAATATAGTAAGAAATGGCGTCACACAGGCATGGAAATAGGTGCTGCAGTAAGATAGGAAGACGTCCTGCGCCGGAAAATGTAACCGTAATTAAGAAGGGGTGGGTAAGGGGAGGGACAGGACCGGCTTCGGTCAACGAAGCACTATTTTTGTAAGTGTGCAGAAGACGGAAGAAGAGAATGTAGAGGGAGCCGATCGGGGCCTTGACAGGTGACTCGACCGGAATATAATATGGAGGAGAGGGTGAAGAGTCAGAATCCAGCTGATATCCACCAGAGCGCCTAATGAGCGGCCAAACCCTGATTCCCGCCTAGATGCCGCCGCTCCTGGGGACAGGACGGACAGCACATGGTGTGACTGGTATCCTACGAAGCGCAGATGGGACGCCGGACGAGGAATAGCGCTCAACGATTCGGATGGGTGCTTGCCTGGTGGCGGGTAGTCTGCAGCGATGGCCGCTCAGGGGGGGGGCACTAGGATGAGTTGGGCAGCACCATTACGGCGAGTCTGCGGCCGCTGGCGAATCAACGGTGACTCAAAGCTCGACGACATCTTGGCTGCGACTCGATAAAAGGTATGCCAAGGCATGGCGCGCGCCAATCGAGTTCCTGATGGAGGTGAAGAGGTGTGGCACTGTCCATGGTGATGGCCAATGAGAATGACCGGTGTAACGCAGGAGGTTGACTGGGCGCTTACACGGGCGGTTGCCGCCATCGATTGGACCCGGCTCGTCGTCAAGGAGGACGAACCACACACACTTCCCTATCAGTCCCGGGAATGCTGGCAAGCTGGATAGCAAACTTGCAAACAAGAAGCGACGATGTTCGGGTGGAGCAGGAACCAGGAAATGCACGAAATCCACAGTAGCCTTCGATCGCGGGCCGGGAGAGGTTGGTGATGCAGCGTGGAGCGAACCAAGTCCCTGTCCCTGGCTGGGGAACACACCTTTGAGTCGATCCTCTGCTCGATCCGTTGCTGCAGCCGTGCCTCTAGCTGACCTGGGTTGCCGTTCCATGGCATTCATCCATATCCGGATTGTCGATACCGTGCCACTTCCATTTCTGGTCGCCGAAGTGAATTAGTGCCCACGTTCACACCCACACGGCCGCAACAAGGACTGAGTCTGGAAAGGGAACAGCTCTCGTGCCTTCCGATCGCATCGCGGATCCTACGGGATCCTCCATCCCGGGTAGATGGTTGACCTCACACCCACCCCGGCTCAATCAATAGCCGCATCAACGTGAGCTGTCGCTACTATCCGGCAGATCGTTTCGTTTGCTGACCGCAACTTCTTTTAGCAGCACCTCGCTGCTACAGGCTAAGAAAAGAAGACTGATGCCACGTCAAGCGTGTCTCCATAGACAAAGCTCGAAGAAGCGCGTTTCCAGTTGTCTTGGTCTCGACTGCATGATGGGACCGGGTTTGATTAAGGGGATGGAAGAAGCGGAGATTACGTTCCGGCAATGGTCCTCGTGATCTGTATGACGGCGGCTGTCGTGGTCGCGGTGTGTCTAGATGGCGACTAGCACGGCGAAGAGCAAAGTGGTCGACACAGAGAACGAGTGGAAGCGCTCGGTTGCCGCTCTTGCAGCTTCGAAACACTGAGAGAGATGGCGGGAGATGGACCCGCTTGATGGCTTTGCCGATTGTTGATTGGCTAAATTCTTCTGGGAGCTCCGAGCTTTGCTTTGCCTGCCGCCGCCCTTGGTGCCCCGCCATCAAGCAAAGCACTCCAGCCAGCGAGAGGAACCCCGCAATCAATTCCAAGGAGGGGCACCGCAGCATCTCGGCGCGACACGACGATAACTGACCCGCGACGAAGACGACAAAAGCGGCCGCCAGAAGCTGCCACTCGTGCATATTTCAATCCTTAGGAGGAGTAAGCTTGATATTTACCTAGGCATGGCTGAGCCCACGCCGGTCGGCCGCGAGATTATTTACTGTGGTGGTAAGTTGCTGCCCCTCCGTCCAAACACTTTCCGGTTGCTCGTGTGACATCACCCTCGAACCGCCGGTCCAACCCCCTGAGATGTGCTTCTAGCCCTTCTTATAAGCTAGCATAAAACTAACGTCCGCCTCGCTAGTATGCACACTGCCACCGGAGGTACGAACATCTTGATTCGACATCCCCCGTCTCGAACCACGCTGCTCCCTGTTACCTACAAACCCCAACTCTAATACCAGACCCCAGTACTGCGAATACGGCGGCACCACCAAAAAGTGTCAAGAATGGCTAGAAAAAAAACACCCCGATCTCTACGCAAGGATATGGTCGCCTGGTGCGTCTCCCCTCACCCCTTGTCATCCCACCCGCACCCTCACCAAACCACACCCACACCACCACCACCCACTAACCCCTCCCTCCTCCGTCCCTCCCTCGCAACAGAAGCCCTAGAAGCAGCTACCGCCTCCCTCTCCCTGGCCGCGCAGGAGCGCGCCGCCAAAGACGCAGCCAAGAAGGCGGCCAAGGCGGAGGCGGCCGAGCAGAAGCACGCCGACAAGCTGGCCAAGAGCGTGGTGACCATCAAGCGCATCGAGCGCAACAAGCGCAAGTTTGTGACGTCGGTGACGGGGCTGGAGGCGTTCGGGTTGGAGCTGAAGAAGGTTCGTGGATTTTCCTTCCCGCCGTTGGTTTCTTGGTGTTTGGTGTGTTACGTTGGGGAGGAGTGGGGAGAGGTTATTGACCTGTTTGTGATGACCAGGTGGCCAAGGACTTCGGCAAGAAATTCGCTACTGGGGCGTCCGTGACCAAGGTGCCGAGCGGCGGGGAAGAGATCGTGGTGCAGGGCGATGTGAGCGGGGAGATTGAGGAGTTCTTGTTGGAAAAATACAAGGATATCCCCGAGGACAATATCGAGTTGGTGGAGGACAAGAAGAAGAAGGCGTCTGCTGGTTAGAAGAGTGGGAGAGAGGATGGCGGGCGGTTTGGAGCATTTCGCAGAATCTTTGGGGGTGGCCCATTGGACATGTGAATCCATTGGGGTACAATAAACATACAGTCCTCCCGGCTCCCCAGAATGATGGCGCTTAGTATCCTGACCGTGATCCCGCGCAAACTCCAAAATTACATGCCGAATGCCGGTTCCTCGTCCATGCCCTCAACACCACCATGAACCCAAAAGACAGACCCATGCTATACAATCCGGAGAAACAAGCAATAACAAACAGGGCCCTCTTGCGAGTCCCCCCAGAATCGAGAGTCAACCCGCACCCAAAAATCAAGGCCGCTTCCTCAACACCCTCGCCCCACTCGCCGAAGATGTCCCACCCCCCCCGGCCGCCGGCCGTGGCCTTCCCAGCAGGCGCCTTCCTTCGGCCGCACCACCCGCACCACCCCCCGCAACACTCTTCTTAATCGTCCCCCATAACTGTCCGCCTCCCCGACGCAGCCCTGCTGCTGTTGTTTGCTGCTGCTGGTGTTTGCGAAGGGGGAGGTTTCGGCTGAGCCCCCGGCGGCGCCGTCATGGGCCGCTTCCTGATTATTGTTGTTGAGGTGCTGTCCTCGCTGGTCTCGCTGGCGCCACTAGCCCTGCGAGCCGTCCGCGTTCCTGGCCTCGATGCGGATGAGGGGGGGTTGCCGGCTGTGGAGACTGTCGCGCCGCGTTTGCGCCTTGCGGCGGCTGCGGCGGCGGCTGCGGCGGTGGATGCTGAGGCTGATGAGGATGTTGTGCCGGTTCCGGTGAGTGTTTTGCGTGGAGATGATGTTGTTGCCGCTGTGGGGGGGCGTGTGGTTGGCCGGGCTCCTTCGACCATCTTGTTGAGGATGTTGGTTGCTGCGACTGCTCTGCCTGGGGTCGGGGCCGGGCGCGCTATGCCTGACCTAGCTGGTGTGGCGACTGTCCGGGGCGCGACTCTGGAGTTTGAGGTGGTCGGTGACAGGACATGTGCGGGGTGGCGCGCGACTTCGGCTCCGGTGTGGGCGCGCATCTTCTTTTGAGGGGTTTGGACATGGTTCTCCTTGTCTCCACCAGAGATTTCATGACTGTTGGGATTGTTACCATAACAAACCAAACCGTTGAGACGCAGCGCAACATACCTTCGCCTTTTCACCGGATGGGCCGTCATCGCTCCTCTTGTCGGCGGTCGAGATGGCACATCCTTAGCAGGGACAGGAGGGCCACGGACACTTCCCGTATTCGCGGCATGTCTTTGTTGCGGCTCTTTCGAGTACCTCTCCAGTAGCTCTCCCATCGTGAGCTTGCGCAAAGACAAGGGAATGCGATTGACGCGAATTTCTATCCGCGTACGGAGACTTTGCGCGTGTATGTTGTAGTTGGCCCGGAGCTTGCGCGCGCGCTCGGTGACTGTGGAGATTGTTAGCGTCGCGCTCCACGTTTTCCTGCGATTACTGAATACATACTCTCGAGGTGGAGGTTGTCGATGAGTGCTTGCTTCTGTGCAAGTGTAATCCCGACTCGCTGCCTCTTGGCTGGGCTTTCGTTGGGGTGGGAACTGCCCTCCTTTGTCGGGATTTTCTGGCTCGCCATATCGGCCGCCAACTGATTGTCGCCAGTTATCTCTAACTGGTCTGACTTGCGCTTTCTGGTGCCGAGAGGTTGCATGGTGTTGCGTACGTCACGAAGACAATTATGACGGTGGAAAATTGGTCAGATGATTGTCTTCTTTCTAGAACTGGAATTCCCTTGTTGAGATCGATATGTCGGATTCGGGTGGTGGAAGTGCAAAGACAAGAATGAATTGCGGGAAAGGAGTTGCGCGCGCTGAGCGACGTGAGTGGTCCGCGTCTCCGAAAGTAAACAAACCGACAGAGGCTGGCGGGGCCAACCAGTTTGTGCGAAGACAAGGGGGGTTATTAAATGTGGGGACCTTCCGGCCAGCCTTGGATCGCTGCACAGTGCGAGGCTGCTCGATCGGGCGTCAGGCTGTTAGCCAAGCTCTGGGCCTCTAGGCTGAACCGCCTTACGCAGCCAAGCTCAGTTGCTTGCTGTGCTACATCATCCAACCTCTAACGGCAACCTCCAACGGCAACCACCAACACTTTCAGCCCTCGACGATCTCATCGCCCATTTTAACGGACGTAGCGAGGCAGCGAATACGAGAAACATATTCGAAACCGGTTATTTGTTCGTCGACAACAGTTCGCCAAGATGGTCCTCGAGGCGGTAATGATCGTGGTGGACAACAGCGAGAGCAGCAGGAACGGCGACTACCCAGCGACCCGCTACGACGCACAGAGTGATGCCGTCAATATCATCTTCCAGAATGTTGTGCAGGGCAACCCAGAGTCTTCGGTCGGCTTGATGAGCATGGGTGGCAAGGGCCCGGAGGTGTTGGCGACGCTCACGACGGACCAGGGCAAGATCCTCGAGGGTTTGCATCAAACCAAGAAGAAGATTCGGGGCCACGCCCATGTTTCTACTGGCATCCAAATAGCTAGCGTAAGTTAATGCGTCACCAAATGCACCCTACCTCGTTTGTAGGCTAACCTATGACCCCGCCAGCTCGCACTCAAACACCGGCAGAACAAGTCCCAACGGGCTCGCATCGTCGTTTTTGTCTGCTCCCCTATCGAAGAGGGAGAGCGCGAGCTAGTTACCCTCGCCAAGAAGATGAAGAAGTTCTCCATCAGCGTCGACTTTGTCCTGTTCGGCGATATGGACGAGGAGAACCAGGCAAAGTTGGAGGCGTTCAACCGCGAGATCAAGGGCACGACCGACTCGTCGCATCTCGTCGTCATTCCACCCAGTTCCAAGCTACTCAGCGACCAGCTCATCTCGACCCCCATCATGCTCGGCGAGGCCGCTCCCAGCGGCGGCGGCGGCGCGGGTGCCGAAGCCGGCGGTGGTGCGAGCGAGGACTTCCCGTTCGGCGTCGACCCGACACAGGATCCCGAGCTGGCGCTGGCGCTGCGCATGAGTATGGAGGAGGAGAAGGCGCGGCAGGAGAAGAAAGCGCGCGAGGAGGGCGAGGCGGCGAATAAGGGCGGTTTAGAGAGCGTCAAGGAGGAAGGCGAGTCGGCGCCGCTGCTGGACAAGGATGGGCAGCCGGGCGGTAGCAAGAAAGACGACGATAAGATGGATACTTCTTAGAGGCAGCCGCAGTGTTGCTCGAGGGGTGGAGTATACCCTATGGGATTAGGGCGGCCCACACTCCAGTCCCGTCCGGTCTGTAGAAATAGACGTCGCTTATTATCAACAGTTGGCACCCTCCCGGCCGCTTACTACCTCCAGTTCCCCGCACAAAAAGTATAAACGTAAAACGCCTAGTAACTCCCATACTTTCCTCGCTCGTGCTTCCCTAGCCCCTCACCCCTTACTCCCTTCTCCTCACCCAACTAGTGACCGTCGAATACAAACTCTACCTATTATTGATCTCCCGGATATGCGACCCCAGCTTGCGGTCGAACATGTCGCAACGCACGGGCATCTCGAGCTGATAGAAGGGGTTCTTCAGGACGTAGTCGGTGTACATCTCATACACCCGCTGGATCGTCCTATCGACGTTGACTTGCGTCGTGTCTGTGAAGAGCAGGAACTTGATCCCCGTCATCGTCGTGAAGCACTGCATCCGGAAGTTCTCCGTCTCCAGCACTTCCAAGCCCGACGGCGGGTCCGGCCGCGTGAAGGGGGCGCCGCCGCCGGATGAGGTGGAGGTGCGGTTGTTAACCGCTTTGAGCGGGTTGAGGCGTGCTGTGATGGCGTGGACGCTGTGGGAATTGGTGAGTATGTGGTTTGGGTGGAGAGAAAAGGGGTGGGTTGGGGGTTGCCTGTCTCATACCCGTGAAAGGTGCCTGCTAAAACCAGGTAGTCGTTGGTGCTGAGCGTATTCAGGCCACCTTCGTGAAAGGACCGGTTGTAGATCAGGCCACCTGCCTTATTGATGATAATGAGAGCGAAGACAGTCCTAGCGGCATTTACTCTAATTAGATTGATGTCTCCCTTAAATAGGCATCGGGAAATACAAACATGGTGGCAGTTTCAGCTCATGGCCGGCAGGGAACTCAAGGGTAAATGCCGTGGTCAAGCACCAGTTGATAAGATGAATTGAAAATTGGTCGGTTAAAATATAACGGTGAGGTTTTGAAGTTTCAGCGTGATGGTTTGAGGCCATCTATTGATGGTGATGGTGGTGAACTGTGTCGCCACTACCTTAAGTGGTACTGTAGTGCGTTGGTGTGGGGATGCGAGCGATGGTTACTGGGTTAGGGTTGGTAAAATAAGAACATAGATTAAGACCAACCGCCAGACCAAGCTCTCTCGAAATATCCTAACGAGACCGGGAAGTTTGTCCTCTGAGCTTGACTTTGGGCACGGCTTGAGAATCTGTCGCAAAGGTGTCACCGCGTACTTTTATTTGATTTGCTCAACTGTCTTTTTTTCTTTTCTTTTTCGTTATCATCCATAGCCTTGAATCTAAGACGAGTGAAACTTTCTAGTTCATTTGAGTGGCCGTAATTGGCCTCGAATCTGGAGGTACTTCGTACGTTAGTTCTGTTCGCCCTGGCTCGAGCCTGGGAGTCAGGGAGGTATTCGTTCCCGCTGGTTGACGTTACGGACGTTGCCATCCTGTCCCCGTTTCTTAACAGCGGTAGGGCAGGGGATAGCCAAGGCAAGTATTCTCCGGCCGTGTAACACCCCGGAATGCAAAAGGCTATTTCCAGCGAGCCACATTCTCGGACAGAGGCAATTCTCAAGCTCCTCCCGCCGCAGGCAAGATCTGGGCATGCAGGTCCAACCAGGTCGTTCCACGGCAGTTACAACAGAGTTACCCCACCAGGAAAATCATCTGGCAGGTTGGTTGTGTCGGCCAGCGTCAGGCGCGATCGATCCCGGCTCGGCAAATTTACGAAACCGCTGAAAACTGCCATCCCTCCCGCCCCATCCGCTATTCCCTGCCATCCGAGTGGCCCGGAAGCAGGGCTACTCACAATCTCAGCACCACTCCACCTTCACAAGCCGCTGTGCTGCCGTCCCATCTTCTGAAGGTGGGCCGCGGGACCATCTCCACCGGGGCGCCCTTTCATGTGGCCACATGGAAGCCTCGACCGAAGGTTCGAAATAAGCACGGATAAGGTAACGTAGCCCTGCGAGTTTGCGGCCGACGCGAAAAACGCTGCACGGGCGGTCCGTGAATATGAGTGCCCCATAAGGGAGTGATTGGCGCTGTTTTCTCCTGTCGCTCATTTATCGTGCTGTTGTGCTCGTGCGACCATAGCTTGAACTCCGGCGCGAAACTTCAACTTTTTTGGCTTGGGGTCGCTAGCGGTGCATGTGTGAGGATACTGTCATTCTCTCGAGGTATATCCTCACCGTCCGACTAGACGAACCGAGCATCCAAGACGGGGGAGATCTCTCTTCTTGCCCCGCCATTGCCTGACGATCTGCTCGCCGCACCCACAGCACCGACCACCTGGCCGTCTTTTTTGGATTTCGATTGCCCCGAGAACCGAGTTTCGCCCTGTTCCGTACCTGTGGCAAGACGACTGGGTACCGCTCCTTTGCCCGTCCCGCACCCAGCAGTAACTCCGTTCCTGGCCATTTTTTTTATGTGCCTGTAGCAACTTAGAAGCGAAGGCCCCCGCGCCACAACCCCCCTGGCCATGACATCGCGCCGGCGCCCGGCGCTGCACAAACAGACGCCGCCTAACAGCAAAGACCGCGGCGACAAGGCATATGCCATGCCCGCACCGTCACCCCGCGTTATTAATGCGGCACCCTCTCTCGAAAAGGCCGAGATGTACGGCATCGACGACAACCGGCCCGTCTTCAGCCGCGCCATGGCCTTGGCCGGCCGCATGTTCATCGAAACCATCCCGCAATGGCTGGCCGTCGGGGCCATGCTGTCGCTGATCTTTGGCGGCTGTTGCTCCAACGTTTTTGCCCTCGAGTCCATCATCAAGGTCGAACCGGCGAGCGGTATGTTTTGTTGCCTCTGTTATATTACCGCAAGAGCGCGCAGCGCATGCATGTGCCCGGGGGCGGCTTCGGGAGCGGCCCGGGAACGACGGCAAAAGGGAGCATCGGCGAGCTAACAAACTGGCTAACAGGGACTCTATTGACATTCGTTCAATTCCTCTTTGTTGCCGCCATCGGGCTTCCGTCGCAATTCGATTCGAGGCGCCCGCCCTTCTTCCTCAAGCCGAATAAGGTCCCAATTCGCCGGTGGCTCGTCAATATCGTTCTTTTCTTCAGCATCAACGTGCTCAACAATCATGCGTTCAGCTACGACATCTCGGTTCCGGTGCATATCATCTTGCGGTCAGGAGGCAGCATCACGACCATGATTGCGGGGAGCTTGTATGGTAAAAGATACTCGCGGATCCAGGTGACCGCAGTGCTCCTACTCACCGTAGGCGTCATCACCGCAGCCTGGTCCGATGCGCAAACCAAGGTATTTTTTTTTTTTAAAAAAAAAAAAAATCCCACTCCACGCTAAGGACAATCAACGAGACTAACGGCATGGGTTAGGGGTCCTCGTCAGACAAATCCGTTGGCAACACAAGCTTCAGTACCGGCCTCATTATCCTTTTCGTCGCACAGGTCCTGTCGGCCATTATGGGCCTTTACACGGAAGAGACATACCGCATATATGGCCCGCAGTGGAAGGAGAACCTATTTTACTCCCACCTCCTGTCGCTGCCTCTCTTCTTGCCCTTCCTGCCGTCCCTCGCCAAGCAGTTCATGAAGCTCGCCAACAGCGCCCCGCTCGCGCTTCCCGTACCACCTCTCGAGGATTACCCGAACCTGTCGCCAAACATCCAGCAAGGCTTGGAGAGGATCCAGATCCCGAACCAGCTGTTTTATCTCGTCCTTAACGTGCTGACTCAGTATGCCTGCATCCGGGGCGTGAATCTGCTGGCAGCCGCGTCGTCGGCCCTGACGGTGACCATTGTGCTCAACATCCGCAAGCTCGTGAGCCTGCTGTTGAGCATATGGCTGTTCGGAAACCGGCTCGCCTTTGGGACGTTGGTTGGGGCGTGCATCGTCTTCTTTGCGGGTGGTCTGTATTCCCTAGACGGGAAACGAAAACCACCCCTCAGAGTCCGAGCGGCGGCCAAGTCATGATTGGACCTGGTTTTCAAGCTACCTACCCGTTTCTTGTATATAGCTGAGTATTGGCGGAGAGTAATGCGAGAAGACCAAACAGAGGGCCATTGTCCCGTTAAAGGCCCACCAGATTTTGCCAGGGTTCTAATATTTCTTCTGTGATTTTGAGATGGAATAACTAACTAAGAACCCAAGCCCTTAAATCCCTTCGGTATCTTTTAGACAGGAAGAATTCCTTGACCCGGTTAGGGTCGGACGGGAGGCTTTTGGCCGCTGGAACGAATCGCATTCTAGCGGCCTTGGCAGTAAATTCAGCGGCCGCCTCCGAACGTCATGGGCCCCAGGCAGTGCGTTTCAAGCGGTCGGTGCCGACGGTGCCGCTCAATAAGGTTGCATTGGATCCTTCCGTTTTGGTAAGCCCAACCCTGAAGACTTCGCTTTGGGTAAGGTTTCTTCTTGTTTAAGCAGTGACTCTTACACCAAAAGTTACAGCTTGGACCTGGAGTCTTCCACACAAAGCAACCCCGCGGTTAACGGAGAAAAGCTTATTCTAGGGATCAAGTGATACAGCATCGCAGGTCCAACCAACGATTCGTTAATCTAGAAAGCTTAGTTGCTTTTTCTTTTTTACTTTTTCCGAGGGCCGCCTCGTGACCGACCATGACTGGTGAGTCTTTTGAGTCGACTACGGAAAGCGATTTCAATGCTTGTCCCTCCCCGCCCAATCAGCCACCTAACACAACTCCCACACTCCCACACTCCCAACACTATCCAAACACGCACCAGGACACAACATCGTCTCGCTTACCACAGCGTCTTCGTTGTGGAACTGATTGTTGATCATTGTAACCAGACCACCCGTACTTGCATGACCCCTCGTCAAACTCGACGTCACCCAAAATCACAGCTACTCAGATGCCTGACCTCGATTCGGATAATGAGGAGTACGAGATGCGTGGTCAGGGTGATACGGACTCTGAGGGTGAGCTAGATGGACATGGTTCTCACCAAGGGACCCAGGGTCACATCGAGGCCGGCTCGAGTCTGGATGATGACCAGGGGCGAAATCAGCCCGATATGGAGGAGGGCATGCTACCCCGAGACATGCCTCATAAGACTGCCTTTTACGACATGGTAGCAGAACGCAAGATGACACAGACCGACGCCAAGTTGTTTTACCAACGAAGTCAGGCAGAAAGCCGCACTCAACTCAACCAGCTTGCCCAGATGTCGCCCCAGAGCAGTCCGCTCCTCTCTGCTGGTGGGCTGGCCGCTTCGTATCCCGATCTGGCCTCGATTGGGCACAATTTTAGCAACCTGAAGCTTTCCGACTTGGACTCGGCTCCCGTCCCGGAACCTTTGTTCGACCAACCTTTGAGGAGGGAGCCCAGCTACATCGGCGCGGGCAATCTTCCCGGCCGCACCAGCTACGCCCCGTCGACCCACGCAGGGGCGGCTTCAGGGGCCCAGATAGACCCGGCCCTCCAGCAGCAGATGCTCTTGGGCGGGGGCATTCCTGGCCTCGGCAACAGCAGTTACTTAGACGCCGACCCTCAGATCAACGCCGAGCTGAGTACCATCTTCAGAGACGTCCAGAAAGTTATCGACCTCCGGAACAAGTACATCCGGCTCTCCCTCCAGGGACCCAACGATAATCCAAAAGATGACCCGACCTGGAATATCTACCCTCCTCCACCCGAGCCTTCATGGACTGAGGCCCGGGAAAAGGCGGCCCGGGGCGCTAACAGCGCAAACACCAGCATGCAAAACAGCTTGGTGCTGAATCCCGACAAACATGCTCAAGGAAGTGAGACTCCGCGCAAGTCAAACGCAAAGAAGCGGAAGCCGGGTCAGGACATTGGCGAGGACTTCGATCTAAATGAGGTGCCGCCTGCGCCGGGCCCCAGCGAGATGACTTTCAAAATGGACGACATGGGGGTGTATCAAGTCTATGAGAGTCAGGATTCGGAGGAGGCGGGCACACCAATTGTCAGTGTGCCCACCATCAAGGAATACTACCTCGACCTTGAAGCCATCTTGAATATCTCCTCGGATGGCCCTAGCAAAAGCTTTGCATTCCGGCGCCTACAGTACCTAGAGGGCAAGTTCAACTTGTACATTCTTCTCAATGAATACCAAGAGACGGCCGACAGCAAGAAGGTACCGCACCGTGATTTCTACAACGTCAGGAAGGTCGACACCCACGTTCACCACTCGGCGTGCATGAACCAGAAGCACTTGCTGCGCTTCATCAAGAGCAAGATGAAGAAGTTCCCGGACGAGATGGTCTTGTTCCGAGACGGCAAGCACCTGACACTGGCCGAGGTCTTTGACAGCATCAATCTTACGGCATACGATCTCAGCATTGACACATTGGATATGCACGCCCACAAGGACTCTTTCCACCGGTTTGACAAGTTCAATCTCAAATACAACCCGATCGGCGAGTCGCGGCTGCGGACCATCTTCCTCAAGACAGACAACTTCATCAAGGGTCGGTATCTGGCTGAGATCACGAAGGAGGTCATTGCCGACCTTGAGTCGAGCAAGTATCAGATGGTTGAGTGGCGCATCTCTATTTACGGAAAGTCACTCGACGAGTGGGACAAGTTGGCCAAATGGGTCGTCGACAACAAGCTCTTCTCGCACAATGTCCGCTGGCTGATTCAGATTCCGCGCTTGTACGATGTCTACAAGGGAAGCGGCTTGATGAACTCTTATGAACAGATCCTCAAGAACATATTCCAGCCGCTCTTTGAAGTCACCAAGGATCCGAGCACGAACCCTAAGCTTCACATCTTCCTGCAACGGGTGATTGGTATCGACAGCGTCGACGACGAGAGCAAGGTGGAGCGCAGACTGTTCAAGAAGTTCCCGGTGCCGAAGGTGTGGGATTCCAAACAAAACCCGCCATACACGTACTGGATATACTATCTTTTTGCCAACCTGGCCTCGTTGAACCACTTCCGCAAGCAGCGGGGCTTCAACACGTTTGTACTCCGCCCGCACTGCGGCGAAGCCGGTGACAGTGAGCACTTGGCGGTGGCAGCGCTTTGCTGCCACAGCATCAGTCACGGGCTGCTACTCCGCAAAGTGCCCTTGCTGCAGTACGTCTTTTACCTCGAGCAAATCGGTATCGCCATGTCGCCGCTCAGTAACAACGCGCTGTTCCTGGCGTACGAGCGGAACCCGTTCTTCCAGTACTTCAAGCGCGGGCTGAACGTGTCACTGTCGACGGACGACCCGCTGCAGTTTGCCTTCACCAAGGAGCCGTTGATTGAGGAGTACGCAGTTGCCGCGCAGATCTACAAACTGAGCTCGGTTGATATGTGCGAGTTAGCCAAGAACTCGGTCAAGCAGAGCGGTTATGAGTTCTCCGTGAAGCAGCAGTGGCTGGGCCCGAATTTCCACCTGCCCGGAAGCAAGGGGAACACCCAGGTCAAGACCAACGTGCCGGATCGGAGAGAAGAGTTCCGGTACCACACGCTCTTAGAAGAGCGGAGGCTGTAAGTCGTCCCCATATTATCCAGTCGCTATAACCACTGACATGTATAAACCGTTTAGTGTTGAGAGATACAACTCCCTTACCACTGAGGCTGCCCCGTCCGTCGTCGACTTAGCGGCCACCACCACCCTCCCTCCTCGCTCACCGGCCCTCTCAACCCACACCAACGTCACCGTCCCTGATTTAAGACAACTGCAGCAGCAATACGAGCAAGCCAATCTGCCCACGCTAAAAGGAAAGGCGCCCGATATTCAAACTGGCAACAGCCCGATCCCCGCCACGGCCCTTCCCAGCTCGATCAGCCAAACCCAAGTGTCGGCAGGTGCCAGTCCCGTGACGCCGTCGACGCCTGTGGCATCTTCTGCAGCCGCTGACCCCGCGGTGCATCTGTCGGGGCACGAGCCGCGGTATTTCCCTGGGATGGTATCGCGCACCCAGGGGAGGGGGAGCATGAGGCGAGAGTCGGGCCATGAGAGCGACCCGCAGGCGCAGCAGCAGCCACAGCAGCCTAGGTAGGCGAAAAGAGTGACGGGTGATGGAATACAGATTGTAGTGGAAGAAGGGGACTGGGGAAGGAAAATAAAAGGGGAAAGAGCACATCCCAATATGACACCACATCTCTCCACATATCTCAAATGTTACTTACCTACCTTGTAGTGATCCAGCTAGTTGCCTACCTACTTCAGAATATGTCCTCCGGTCGAAAACATACAAACATAGATATGGTCTGGGTAGATGAATAGATGTAATCACTCGTAGACCTCGACAACCACGAGTGATGATCGGGACGCAACATGGCCGTTTCAATATTTCGTCGCGTTTCCTAACCTAACTGGGTAATACATACGGCATATCGTAGTAGTTACATGGTCACAAACTCCACAAAAACATCCATAGAATCCGTTTCACAAACGGCAGCACATCTCAACCAAGGCCAGCAAGAATATTCAGTCATATTCCTTGCATAACTTTGTCCTCCTGCGATTGATATTCACCGACCACGTGCGGTTATGCACCCCCCCTTCTGCAACCAAGCTCATCATGCTTCAGCCAGCGTGCCTGAGACAAGCGGGAGTTGGCCCGACTGGTCCGTTTCCACCCCGGTAAACCGGTAAGCCGGTAAATCGATAGTGAACAACTGAAGACCCACCCATCAGCCGGCCGCCCTTCTCCACGACCTAAGACCTAGACCCAACCTTTGCCCGTTGATCTCTTCTACTCCTTTTGCGATTTGGACAGAAAGTCGAATCAGGGTTTGGAAGTCGCTCAATTCCAAGTGAGCCGGGAAGGCGAATTACTTCTACATTTCTCCTTTACTATTTATCTACTGATTACAGGACTCAATAACTACAGCCAGGGTGCCCCTGTTTGGAATCGCCGCCGTTTCTGGCGCACCGTCCAAACTCAGCAGTTACGTACTGTACCTGACCAACCTGGAAGGAGAGGTTAGTCCCGCGCTGGGTCCGGCCCAACGTCCACTCCAATCCGTCCCAAACTTGCCCGCTCCAAGTTCCAAGTCTGCATCCCACCCTCGGCGCCACCCCGCGACGACACCCGGTTCGGCCTCATACCCGCAACCCCCCGTCCTCCCGTCCCGTTCCGTAACGCTTCCTCCATCGACCGTGATTCCGATGCCGTCTGCTGCCGCTCTCCAGAGACAATAGTCCCGACCCCCAGACCCCCGACCCTCCGGCGACCCGACAAGCCGTCTTGCCTCCTGTAAACAACACAATGGGCTTTGTCGGCGTCTACAAGGCCGTCTACGACTACGCCCCCCAAGGCGAGGGCGAAGCTGCAGATTACCGAGGGGGACCTGCTCTACGTGCTGGAAAAGAGCACCGACGATGACTGGTGGAAGGCCAAGAAGAAGGCGACCGGCGAAGATGAAGACGAGCCTGTCGGGCTGATCCCGAATAATTACGTCGAGGAGGTATGCGCGGTCTACAATCGTTCGCCCAGATACTGGGGAATCGTGCTGACATGGTTGGTTTTGCCTGCTGCTCTAGGTCCAACCCCAAGCGAAAGCCCGCGCTCTGTACGAATACACACGGCAGACTGACGAAGAGCTGTCGTTCCCTGAGGATGCGCAGCTTGAGGTCTTTGATACGACAGACCCGGATTGGATTCTGGTCGGACATGAAGGGGATTATGGCTTCGTTCCCGCCAACTACATCGAGCTAGGGGATGCCGCAGCCAAGGAGGAGCAGGAGGTTGAAGCGCCCGCGCCCGCGCCGCCTCCTCTCCCCGCGCGTACCCCTAGCAGCGACGTACAGAGCCCGCCCCTTCCTGCTAGGAACCCGGCCCCTCCCCCCGAGCCGAGCCCGCCTGATACGCCCGCCGCCCCCAACCCGGCGACTATGATCGCTGGCATGATGGCTGCTCGCGCGAGTTCGGCGACGCAGCCGCCCCCCGCGCCGCTCGATCTTCCGCCCCGAAACCAGTATGCCTCCGAGGAATCCGATGCCGAGGTCAAATCCCCACCGCTCCCGGCGCGGCCGCGCGGCAACTCGCACGTGTCGATTGAGCCTCCCCGTCCCTCCCCACCGGTGGAACAGCGTAGTCGGAACGATTATAGCAATCGCAACGAGTACAGCAGTCGCAATGAGCACAGCGGTCGCAATGACCGCCGTAGCCGCGTTGACTACGACGAGCCGCAAACCCCCAAAACGGAACCTCTCACCCCCGGTGACTTCCACATGTACAATATCAACGAGATGATGTCCATCATGGGCAAGAAGAAGAAGATGCCCACCACCCTGGGCATCAACCTACGAACGGGCATCATCATGATCGCCCCCGAGTACGCCCAGGACGGGCCCTCGCTCGAGTGGACCGCCGATCGCATGACGCACTACTCGCGTGAGGGAAAGCACGTCTTCATGGAGCTGGTCAAGCCGAGCAAGAGCATCGACTTCCACGCGGGCGCAAAGGACACCGCCGAAGAGATCGTTTCCATGCTCGGGGAACTGGCCGGCGCCGTGCGCGCCGAGGGTCTGCGGGAGGTAATCATGGCTGCCACGGGCCCAAGGGCGATACAACAGAAGAAGGGTGTCATCATGTACGACTTCATGGCGCAGGGCGACGACGAGGTGACCGTCGGCATTGGCGATGAGGTCATCATCTTGGACGACACTAAGAGTGACGAATGGTGGATGGTGCGCCGCGTCAAGAACCAGCGAGAGGGTGTCGTGCCGAGCAGCTACATCGAGGTCACCGGAATCATCGAGTCCCCTGTTCCGACCGCCTCCTCGGGCGTTGGTGCGGGTAAATCGACCATCGAGCAGAACCGCCTAGACGAGGCACGCATGACCAAGGAGGCCATCAAGGCTGGCCAGCGGGAGGACCAGAAGGAGAGGGAAAGATCGAGATCAGAGGTAGGCCCTGGATTGCCCCTGCCCGACCGGAGTAGTAGTTTGTCGGCCAGACTGGGTAACACCGAGTCGCAACAGCGAAGCAAACGCGAGAACGGCCGCGCCGAGGCCTCGGGCTCGTCCAGGTCCAACGGAAAGTCGAGTGAGTCTTGCCCACTTTTCTATTCTTCATTCTGGTAAAGGGGGGCCCGCTAACCCCTCCAGAACCCGATCCCTCCAAGGTCCGCTCGTGGACGGACCGCTCCAAGTCGTTCACCGTCGAGGCCCAGTTCCTAGGCATGAAGGACGGCAAGCTCAACCTTCACAAGCTCAACGGCGTTCGCATTGCCGTGCCCGTCGCTAAGATGTCACTCGAGGACTTGGAATATGTCGAGCGCGTTACCGGTATCTCCCTCGACGAGGACAAGCCGTTGTCCGATCTCAAGAGACGGGCGACGACGAGCGAGAGCTCCCGCAAGCCCCCGGCCGCTAAGGTCGGCGCTTCCGTGGAGCCCAAGAAGTCGGACTACGACTGGTTCCAGTTTTTCCTGAATTGCGAGGTCCAACCGGGGTTGTGTGAGCGGTACGCCCAGGCTTTTGACAGGGAGTCAATGGATGAGAGCGTCCTGCCCGATGTGGACGCTTCTGTTTTGCGGAACCTAGGGTTCCGCGAGGGTGATATCATCAAGGTGATGCGGTATTTGGATACCAAGTATTATCGCAAAAAGGGAGAAGAAGAGGCCAGTGGCGGACTGTTCTCCGGCCCTGGCGGTGCGCTACGGAACAACACCCGAAAAGGGCGGCCGGCTCCTCCGGTCGAGACCAACAACACCGTTGACCCGAACGCCTTCTCTTCGCAGAAGGACTCGCCTCCGGCTGAAGCTAAGGCCGCGTCCCCGCCGACGGCGGCGGCCGCCCCGGCGGCTTCAAAGCCTGCTGGAGGGTTCGATGATGATGCGTGGGATGTGAAGCCGTCCAAGACCCCGGAACCGGCTCCCCAGCAGGCACCGGCAGCCCCAGCCCCCGCTCCTGCGCCAGCTCCGGCTCCTGCTCCGGCACCAAGCACGGCCAAGCTCACCGGGTCGATGCAGGAGTTGTCACTGCTGACCCAGCCGTTGACACCAGAAAAGGTCCAGCCGCCAGCCCCTCCACCGGCTTTGAACTTGGCCCCTGCCACAGCGCCCGCCCCGGCTCCGGCCCAGATTGCCCAGCCTACCGGCGCTACTCCCGGTTTCTTCAGCGGGATGCAACCGCCCGCCGTGAACGGCCAGCAGCAGCAATCCCAATACGCCCAGCAATTGCCACAAAACATTGCCCGCCAACGACCCATGGCGCCGCAGTACGCTCAAGGTCAAGGCGGTCTAATGCCGCCCCCTCCGCCCTCGCGGCCCCTCTCCGCACCGCAGTCCGCCCAACCCAGTGCCTTCGCCCCGCCGCCGCTCCAACCCCAGATGACGGGCTACGCTCAGGTCGCTCCCCCTGGCCAGAGCCTGAATGACCTCTCCCAGGCCCGCCTCCAGCAACAGTACACCGCGATGCAACAGCAACAGCAGCCGATGATGCCCATGATGACCGGCATGCAACCGCAGCAGCAACCACAGCAGTTCCAGAGTCCGTTCATGCCCCAACCTACAGGCATGGCCCCCATGCAGGTCCAGCCCACGGGTTTTATGGGCGGCTTCCAGCCGCAGCAGCAACAGCCGCAGATGACGGGGCTGCCCCAGCCGCTTGAGCCGCAGCGCACGGCTATGGGCATGGGCCAAATGGGCATGGGCGGTGGCATGCAGCAGATGCAGCCGCAGGCTACTGGGTTTGGGAACATGGGTGGTGCTGGTGGTGTTGGTGGTGGAATGCAGCCGCCCGCGCAGCCCCTCGTGCCCCAGCAGACGGGCCCCGCCCCGCCGGTAAGGTTCGGTGTGACGGAGGGAGCCAAGAAGCTGGCTCCCCAGGCGACGGGGAGGAGGGCCAATCTGGCTGCTGCTAGTGAGTTTTTTTTCTTTCTTCTTTTCTTTCTTTTTTTGTCTTGGCTTTACTCCGGGGATGTAAAAGAATTGTTGGCTAACCACGATGTGTTTCAGCGCCGGACAACCCGTTCGGGTTCTGATTGATCACTACTCGTACGCCGACGGAGGTTGGGCAAATGCCTTTTAGGTATTGCTCACCCTTCATCTAAGCAACCAGTCGGGTGGTATGCCTGCGAGTTCGCGGGACTTCGCAACCCTGAGAGAGAGAGTCTCTGTCGCCTGCACCCAGAACTTCGCGCATCGGGGGTGGCCCACATCATCGGGGTCGAGGACCCTGTAGGTATAGAAAAAAACGCGAAGGGCTTGACCCTAGGCCCCTGCTCTTTCGGACCTGCCCCGTTCATCTGGGCTGCCAGAGAGGTTCTAGGTGAGTTAGAGAAGATCGGGCGGCAGTGGAAGGAAGGATATCGGCTCCGTTGGGGAAGGCCAAGGGAGAGAAGGGGGGAGAGGGGGAGAGGGGACGAGAGAAGGGAGGAGAGAAGGATAGAAGAAACAGGAGGGGAAGAGGGGAAGAGGGGAAGAGAGGAAGAGGACAGAAAGACGGGGGATGGGGAGGATATCGTCTGCTTGGGTTCTGCGCAGCATGTCAGTCAGCCTTGAGCGTTCCGCTGCGCTTGTTTTCTTGGTTTTGCCTTGTTTTCTGTCACTCACGCCTACACACTACATACACACCACGCACCACCGCCTTTGCTTTGTCGACCTACCTAAACCTACCTACCGACCTCAACAACTTCCCCTTTTCTGTACCTACGTATTCCAACCCCTAACTATTACCAATTACCTAGTCATATTACACGTTACTATTCTGGAGGCCTTTGATCGTTTGGTCGCTTCTACCTAATCTGCATGAAGAGCCGGAGTGCTTAGGTTTCTTTCCGACCGGTATTCTAGCCCGGTCTTAATTCACGACATGCTGCTGATTTGGACCGCTAGTTGGCGCTAGCGAGGCTCACGAGTCAGAGTGAGGTTGGATCGATTACGTAGGTGGCAAGCCATCGCGGCCGCCCCGGCGGTTGCGACGAGAAGCGGTTTTCTCAACACCACCGAGGCGAGAGCGGGAGGTGAGGTCGTTCCTATTGCGGGATTCAGCTTGGAAGGGTACGTCGCCCGGGCCGAATCACAGCGGTAGTAAGGTGGCGTGCTGGGGCATTTGGACTATCGTCAAAGTTGGTTGGCACTGTGATATATAATAGGGTTCTGTAGATTGACGTCTAAATTCCAATGACAACTCCAAGTGAGACCACACAGGTAATAGAGAGCGAAGAAATGAACCTGAACAACATCCCATCCCATGTGACCTGACCCGACCCGAACCTATATCTCCGTGCCCTGCCGTGCCGTCTGGCCAGTAATACACACCGAGCCATTACCCTCTATTCCATCCGTACGAA